CGGGTGATGGACGGAGCTCCCTGGGGGTTGCGCACACAGTGCAGTGCACAGGTGATTGTAGAATTGTGCACCTCACACCCGAAACCTGTATAATTTTGTTAATTAGTGTCACCCCAACACATTCAGTAAGTAAATAACAAGAGGTATTAAAAGTAAATCTAAACAGAGACGATATAAATACAGTAAGTAACTTATGGAACCTGAATGTAACATATGCCCCAGAATTTCTGTAATTTAAAGAACTGGTTTGGTACACTCTTCGTAACTGAACTCAGCATGTTCTCTGTACATTAGTGGATCTTATGAGAAGAGGATTAATGATTAAAAATTATATAAATATGTGACCGATGCCGTGACTGCCTCGGGCAGCTTTTTGACGGATTCTTGCGGAATGAGAGCCAAGAATCACAGAAAGTGGGGAAGGAATGTGACAGTGGAGCATGGGGAGAGGCAGAGAGCTGCTTGCCCCTTGTGGGGCTTTGTCACACGATTCTACTAAAGAACAGTCATTTTCCTAAATTTTAAAAAGTTTCTAACTGATGACTGGCTGGGGCAGGGGGCCTGGGGTGAGCGCACAGGGCTCGCCGGCAGCGCAATGGCACAGTCACGGTCCACACAGCACTGCGTCCCTGCTGCTTGATCGCGACTAGAAAGAAAGTTGCACAACGTTACTTTTCCACTTCACCTGAGGACGATCAGGCTAATCCCCACTGACTACAGTCTGATCTCAGTTTCCCAGGTCTCTGAAGGTGGCTCCGAGACTCTGGAGGTGGCCTTGAAAGTTAGCCGGCTGAGCCGGGGCTGCGGCTCTGGTCCCCGCTCGGGGCACACGCCTGGGTTTCGGGTCTGACCCCTGGGAGGGGCACCTACAGGGCATCCGGACGATGTTGCTCTCACATCCATGTTTCTCTCCCTCTCCCTTCCTCTCTCTAAGCTGTCCTCTGGTGAAGATTTTAAAAAAAGAAGTTATCTAGTCTAAGTAAAATACGCCCGTCAGAGAAAGATAAGTTCCAGAGGAATTCACTCACAGGCGGAATCTAATGAACCCACTAAGCTGACAAGCAAAACAGAAACTCAGCAGCAGCAGCAGAGACAGAGACAGAGACAGAGACGAGACTGGCAGCCNAATTAATTACAGACTGCAGAGGGCAAACGAGGGAAGTGCTGTGAGAGAGGTCCACACACAAGGGTTCTCATGCTAAGTTAAATAAGAGAAAGATGAGCAGCATATGATCTCACTCATACGTGGAATCTAATGAACAAAATGAACTAATAAGCAAAACAGAAGCAGGCTCTAGGTACAGAGGACAGACTGTCAGCTGTCAGAGGGGAGCGGGGTTCAGGGGCTGGGTGAAAAAGGTGAAAAGATTAAGAAAAAACAAAAACACACAGACACAGACAACAGCATGGTGACTGCCAGAGGGGAAGGGGGGGTAGAGGAGGGTAAAGGGGGGCTAAACGGTGATAGAAGGACAATATATGGCGACATGTACAGAACTGTACACCTGAAACCTGTATCATTTTGTTAACCAGTGTCACCCCAATAAATTCAATGAAAAAGAAAAAAAAAAACTATCTAATCCAGACTTGGACAGTAACCCAAAGGTACGAAGATGCAGAATGCG